CGATATATATATATGAAAAAGTCAGACCACAATTAGAAAATTGTCACCCCACCTACCAATAGGAAAACATAGATTTCAGTAGTAACTTCTAAAAAAGCTGCTAAAATGTAGTGTAACAAACAGACAAAACTACGGTGCAGTACTGCATTGTCACGACACCGCGGCCCCAAACGTACCCTCAATCAACCTACTAGCTAAAGCAATCCACCCAGTCAATTCAACAAGTTTGTTTGATCATTTAACTAGCTAAGGCGGGGAGACTTCGACAGATTACCACATCGACGAATATCATTAAACTATATGATGCATCGTGGATCATACTCATGCATATCATGCTACGTCATTATTATTATTTTGATATATTTTCTCTCTTTAATCCAATAATTTTTTGATATAATCGTCCCTGGAAATAACCTAAATTTGTAAATGAGAGGCCATATGAGAGATAGAGAATTTTTTTTCTTCTCAAATAATTACATCAGACTTTTTTTTTTTTTTGGTATTTCATGAACATCTTAAATTCTTAATAGATATTTTCTCTCTCTTCTTCTATTTCGTACGTCATCACCCTTCTTCATCTTCTCTACCATTTCCTAGAGCACATGAGGCCGCTAACATTAAAAAGCATAAAAAAGAAGAAAAAAAGAAAAAAAAACTGACACCACATAAACTAGTTCAACTTCGTTGAACAAAAGATATATTTTGGGAAATCTAAATGGCATATCCAAATAGTTTACAATATCATCACAAATCTTATTTTAGGCTGCAAACTTTATGTATGCAGTTACAATATAACGGCTTTTAGCGTATATTTTATTTATAATTAATTTCTTTTTAGAACGTCATTCACTACCTTGTACAAGTTGATCGCGGAGCGGCCATTGGGACCAATGGCATTGGCAGCGCTCTCCTTCCATTCCACGGCTTTCTCCCTCATCTTCTTTCCCTTTCCTCCAGCCATCATCTCCCTTATCAATTCCTTCACCTCATTCCGTTTCACATTGTTGTCAATCTCCATCCCGACCCCCCAATCGGTGCATGCGTACTTGCAATTCGTCTGTTGCTCTGCAAAGAAAGGCCAACAAATCATGGGAACGCCGCCACATAAGCTCTCTAGCGTCGAGTTCCAGCCTGAGTGTGTCAAGAAGACACCAACAGCCGGGTGTGTAAGCAGTTCTTCCTGCACGCACCAGCTTGTCATTAGTCCTCTCTCTTTAATCTCCTCCATAAACTCTGGTGGCAGCACCGCGGATTCTCCTTTCACAAGGTCAGGTCGGATAACCCAAAGAAAATTGTAGCGGCTGTTCGCCAGCCCCCACGCGAACTCGATTAGTTGCTCATTTGTCATCACAGTGATGCTTCCGAAGTTAACATATACAACAGACTCAGGCGGCTTACTGTCTAGCCAAAGGAGGCACCGATTGTCCTCATTCCATAGGCTGGCAGTGATGTCAGCCAGAGGGCTTTTGCTTGAAATAGTGCGGCGAGCAAGGAGAGAGAGCGGACCGATGGCGTACATAGGAGGGAGGATCTTCCGCAGCGAGTCGAGCGCCGGAGCTTCGAGATCTTCGAAGGTGTTGATTAGGATGGCATCGGCCATGGAGGCTCGACTAGTTTCGCGCAACACAAAGTTGAGCATGATGTCTTCGGAATCAGTTGTGCGGATGAAGGAGGGAAAATCTTTGAGAGACATGCCTTCAGTAAGCCCCGGAATCCAATCCACCCGGGTGTCAAGAAAGCCGTTGTTCATATCCTCCGCACCTACATTCAAACCATATTTCTCATCAAGCACATAAAAATTGAGACTGAAATTTTTGTTATGTTTAATTATTTGTTGCTCTTATTACTTTTGAGCGGAATGATGCCACGGTCGAGCAGGTGCTGATAGTGGAGGTAGGCGAGGTAACCGCAGGCGCTGGCGGTCCAGAAAAGGACCTCTGGGATGCCGAAAGCTTGAGCGGCGTCCAGGGTGAAGGTCATCACGCCGTCAGAGACGATGCACGATACGGGAGGGGAACGTTCATTGAGCTTGGTGATGAGACTGCAGAAAGGGGCGAGGAAGTTCTTTGTTGTGGATTCACTGAGGGTGGGGACGTCCTGCGTGGAGTCATCTTCGGAAATGGGGAGGCCGTCGGGGATGGTCTCGAAGCGGAAGTCGGGAAGGCCCTTGACGGAGTTTGGGCCTTGTGAACGGAGTAGGCGGTTATAGTTGAATTCTGTTAGTACGAAGGTGATGTGGAAGCCGAGGCTGTGGAGAAGCTTGGCTAGCTTAAGCATGGGGTTCATGTGCCCTTGGGCAGGATATGGGATGCACACGGCATGGTGGTTCTCTGCTGCAAGGGAACCCATCAATCGCTCTCTCCCTCTCTCCCTCTCTCCCTCCTCTGTCTCCTGTGAATGAGCACGGCAATGGAGTACGAACTTGGTGGATTTATATATTTTTAAACGCAGTTAGATATTGTGAAATAATTTATAATAAAAGTCGCATTGACAAGCATAGCATCCGAATCTTGTGTATTAACATATCTAACACCTACATTTTTTTTATTTATATTTATAATTTATACCACCGCAATCTTTTATATCTAGGAAAAATTACCATAGAGAAGATGATTTGTCAGTAAAAGTTTTTGAGTTATCATATATGCAGGGGTGGATATTCTTTTTTTTAGGAGGGTAAATTGTCCCCATAAATCCAATATGGGAGGGCGAGCTTAAAGAGCAAAGTGAGACTTCAAGAGAGGGCAAAATAACTTACTAGGTGCACTTGATTATATATATATA